TTTCCATGCATAGGAAACGGACGGGGCTGGAGGCGACACGCGCGTTTGGCACGAGAAACTGGCGCTGTCCGTGCATGGGAAGCGGACGGCGAGCCCTCTCGACGCGGACCTGGAGGCGACACGCGTGTTTGCAAGTGAAACCTGCGCTTTCCGTGCATGGGAAACGGACGGCGAGCCCCCTTGACGCGGGGCTGAAGGCGACGCGCGCGTTGACACGAGGAACTGGCGCCTTCCATTGCAAAGGACGCGGGCAGCGAGCCCCCCTGGCACGCGTGTTTGCATGAGAGACCCGGCGCTTTCCATGCACGGGAAACAGGCCGCAGAGCCCCCTGGCCGCGGGGCTGGAGGCGACGCGCGCGTTTGCACGAGAAACGGGTGCTTTGCGTGCACGGGAAGCGGGCAAGGGCCTGCCGGGGAGACCCTCGAGGCCGCGCTCGTTGGACAGCCTCCGTGGGAAGGCCGCGGAAGTGCAACGGGCGCCGACGGAGCTCTCTCTCTCTCTCTCTCTCCCTCTGCCTTGCAGCGCCCCCCAGGCCCCTCTCTCCTGGCCAAGCCGGCCTCCCCTCTCCCGCAGCCCCCCAAGCAACCTGGTCGGAAGAGGGCGCAGGCGGCAGCGAGAGCGCCCCAGGCCCGCCGGGCCTTGGCATAGCCGGCCAGGCGCGCTGCTCCTCCGCGGCTCCAGTAGGGGCGCGCCGTGCCTGCACACGGGTCTGCCGCATTCAGACGCGGAAGACCAGCGCGGCGCCTCCCGGACCGACGGCAAGGGCTTTCCCCAGTCGCTTCCTTCGGTTATCTGCACCGCGGGCATCCGAGCTTTTCTAACGCCGGGATCCATCCGGGGGAGGCTTTTCCCACCGGCGTGGGGTGACGCGCTTTTGGCCGTCGTTTGCAAAGCGGGGTTTCCTGGGCGGAAGAGCTTCCCTCTTCCAACCAGTTGCTAAAAGTGCATTCGCTAAGGCATGGGGAAGCAAACTGGGCTTTCCGAGTTGCCCCCGGGCTCCCCCCCTTTCGTTTCGCTGCAGCCACTGTTCCCTCTAAGCTGAGTCAGTGTGAGCTAGCTCCCAGTTTTTTAGCCTCCGGCTCACACCCAGCCTCAGCCCAGGAAGGAGGGCTCCGGAGCAAACTAATGGATGCAGCGGCCAAATCGCTCGCTCCCTCGCCGCTTTAGTGCCAGGAGCTCACAAAGGAGCATTTTTGCTCACAAGACTCCACAGCCCAGAGGGATCATTGGCTGCGACCCTGGACCGACGCCTGAAGGCCGGCCAGGCGGAGACCGCTGGATTCCCACAGACCAACCCACCCAAACACTGTGCAAGCAGCCCCTGACTCTTGCTTGGGGTGCCAACTGGCCTGGAGAACAGACGCCCCGCCCCTTTAATGGAAACTTGATGTGTGGAAATAGGAGGGCAGTTAGTGGAGCTTCTCACGAGGCAGAGACCACAACAGTCTCGCTGGGTCAATAGCATCCAATTCAGCCTCTAATAAAAAAGGGACAGGCAGGATATTTTCCTCCAGGTCGTTGGCAACAAAGCTCCCCCTAAACTGTGGAGTCTTGTGAGCAGAAATTCTACTACTGGCATTAAAGCTGTGAGTGAGCGATTTGGCTGCTGCATAAATTAGTTGCTCTGGAGCCCTCCTTCCTGAGCTAAGACGATGATGTGTGAGCCGGAGGCTAAAAAAACTGGGAGCTAACTCACACTAACTCAGCTTAGAGGGAACACTGGTTGGCAATTCTATTGAAGTTTCCCAAAGGCAGTCCGGGAGGAGGGAGGGAGGGAGAGAAGAGATGTCGGGAGAGAGCCAAGCCTCCCCCTTTTGCAATCAAGCTCGATGTGGAGTCACTCCGGTTCTAAGCCCAACCCGTTCCAGCGCGGACTTCTGCAGCCACAGAGGGGACTCACCGGGGAGGCTGGCAAAAGACGTGAGGGGGGGGGGGCGGTGGTAGCGCCGCGTTCAAGCGGAGGGGTACCCCAAGCGAACCTGCTTCGCTTTGGCTTCTGCGCCCTCAGCGCCTCCGGAACACACGTCGGATCAGAGGGGAGGGGTGGCGGAGGGCCGGGAGAGGGTCTCTCTCTCTGGGACGCGCAACGGGGTGGCTTTTCTTTTACTTTTGTTATGAATGGATTGATTCTGGCAAGCCCGGAAGAAGGCCTGAAGCTGGCCGGCTGGCCCTGGAAGCTCTCCCTGCCCCCCCAGGCCTGCAAAACCCAAGGAACCACGTGAGCCTCTCTCCCCTCGGAAAAAGTGGGTCGAGCGTGAAGAGGGGAGATATTAACCAGCCCGCTTCCCCTTGCTGAGCCCTCTCTCTCTCTCTCTCTCCCCCCACCCCCAGGAAAAAACCCTAACCTAAGCCCAGCAGCAGGGAGAACAGCCGGGGATGCCCCCTCCTCCCCCCTGCCGGAGCGCCAGCCCCCCCAATGACGCTCCGCAACGATTCTCGAGTTTGAACTAAGAACTTCTGGGTCGGTGCGGTCGCTTCGGCCGCAGGATTTCCCCTGTCTGCTTCGGCGTTCTGGGGGCGGCGTTGAAGGGCTGGGAAGAGGGGGCTCGCGGCCAGTGTCACCACCCCATCTATAGGGGGTGGTGCCAGTGTTCCCCCGAAGCTGAGTTAGTGTGAGCCGACTCACAGTTTTTTAGCCCCCGGCTCACACATTTTTGTCTCCGCTCAGGAAGGGATGGCTCCAGAGCAAACTGATTGAGGCAGCGGCCAAATCGCCCGTTCACAACTTTAATGCCGGTAGCTCACAAAGTGGAAATTTTGCTCACCAGACTCCACAGCTTAGAGGGAGCGCCCCATGCCTAAGCAAAGCCCCCGGTTTCTTTCGAAAGCAAAACAACCCCCTTCCCAGTAAAATACACACCCCCACTCCAGAACTTTTACTTCTGGAGCTGGGGCTTTAATAACGAGAAGGATTCGTGGGGGGGGGGGGAGAAAAGGCAAAATAAATCTTCATTTTGGAGGCAATTAAAGTGTTGATTTCATTCGTGCCCTCCAGCGGTTCTTGTAATTTGCTCAAATAGCTTTATGTACCCGGCACTCCGGAGCTCTTAGAAACCCATTTTCTAGTTAGACTTGTTGGATTACAATTTATTTATTTTTTAAAAAACAACTCAGCAACAACTTGGCGGAATGAGGAGAGGGACTTCTTTCCTCATCCAGAGCTCGGGGTTTCTCCCCGCCCCCCCCCCCCCCCCCGCAGGTCCCGAGGTCAGCTTTAGCCGCTCAGGGTGCCGATCCTCGGCTGAGGGGTCTCTCCCCAACGTTCGCCTCGCCTCCGGTGTTAAGTAAGAAGAGGGGGCGCGCCCACCCACCCAAGCACGGAAAGAAGCCCCGGCTGGGCCCAAGATCGCGGCAGCAAAAAAGGAAGAAGGAAAGAAAAGTCCTAGAAAGACTCGCAACTCTCCCCCCCCCTTTCTCCCAATTTACATTTTTATCAATGAACCGCTTGCAACATCGCCTGGGTGACATTTCGCTCGCTCTCCCGCCTAATGCCAAACACAACCAAAAAAGGGGGGGGGAGCGCCAGCCCCAGGCGGGTCTACTCCGAGAGTAAGCCCAAGCCTCTAGAACGGGGATCGAGTCCCCTGAGTGAGTGAATGGGTGGGTG